TTGTACAGAAAGTTGGAAACTGTAAAAATATGTACAGCTGATGCTCAATATAACCGGATTAATCCAACAACTCAAGTTTTTCTTACAGCATCTTGTACAGATGATTGTACTAATGCCATTCATACAACCATATCGTGGAGTGTATATTATGGATTTATCGATTTTCCAAATAGTGATGTCACATACGAATTGTTAGAAAATATGGCAGAGTATCAAGGATCTTGGTTTTTTGGTAGCTTTACCATCTCTTTTTTCATTCAAAAAGTTCATTCAAGAAGTATTTGTTTCACATTTAGGTTCAGACACGCCGAGTTTTACTGCCACAACTGATTTATTTATAAACAATCCATCAATTGAATATTGGCGATTTCAAGCAACGTATATTGTTAGTAACGGTAGCAGTACAGCAAACGGTACAGGTATGATTCGTTTTCAAATTAATAAACCACCACAAAATGGAACATGTATGGTTGATACACGAAACGGTACTACAAGTACATTATTCACATTAAAATGTTTAAATTGGATCGATGAAGATGGAATACAAGACTACAGTTTCTACAGTGGGTAGTGAATAATTATTAAAACAAGATAAAAAATAATTTTTCTTTTCTTAGTGTGGACAACGGATAACACTACGCAACAAATTATTGGTTTTACAGAGACCACAACTATAGAAGCTTATTTACCGTTAGGCGATCCAAATCTAAACTATACATTGAATATTGTGGCTCAAATACGAGATCTATACGGTGGTATAACACAGTATCAAATAAAATCAATACAGGTATTATTTAAAGATAAACTTTAACGTGAAGTTCTGTTAAGTCGTACACAAATATTACTCTTGAGAGTACCTCGCATATGCGCTTTCTATAAGGAGCTTGTTAAAAAACTGGATTTATATTGCATTTTACAAATTCAGCTAAATAGAAACTGTTTCTCATAAAACAGGTTGTTCCAGATTCTCCTACATTATTGACTTTTATGTCCGCGATTGAAAATGTTCAGAATCGTGGAAGAACTAATATAACATTGGAACAACTATTGTTTGGTGGTGATCAAAATATGATCTGTCAAGTTTTGTTATCGATGTCTCAAATGTTAAATGCAATGAGCATGGCTGCTCAACAACTTGCGGTTACAGGTGAGATGTAAAGCTTATATTAAAAAAAAATTTTATGGATTAGTTTTTATCTTTCTGTGTTGTAAGAAAATTCATTTGAATGAATGAATTATCCACTTAAGAAAACAATTTCGAAAATTGTGCAATAACTCGCGAGAAGAAAAAAATTTCTAAGATCTTTCTCTAAAACTCGCAAACAATAAACAATTTCTGCGAGCTCGTCTAAAGCGTATGAAAACTTTTCTTTTTTTCAGAATTCCGTGTGTTCAATTTCTTGAGTGTCAGATAGAAAAATACGAAAGAGTGATTCTTTCCTCACAGGAAAATTTTCACCTCGACAAATCTTGCGTGTTAAAAATCCGTATTTTATCTCCACAAAGTTCTCGTGACGTAAAACTATGGATTGTTATTAGACGAAACATATGATTTTTTTCTCTCGAGATCTTTCACAAGTTTTAAAAATTTTTCCAGCAGGTATTATAACAATTGTTGAAGTTTTCTTGCATTTAATTATAACTACATTGGAAAGCTACTACTAACATTTTCCTGTTACTATCCATTTCAAAATAGACGGTCTGTCGATTTTTTTTCGATGAACTCGAGAACGGAAAGAGTTCGTGCTTTTCACTATTTTGTAGGAAATAACTTCTTGCATAAGAGACCGAAAAAATCTCGGATTTTCAGCTACGTAACTGTTCGTTTAAGATGAGGTCATAATTACATGACTTTTCACAAATCGACCTGTCTCTCTAGTGGATTTACCGGGTGTTGCCTATACCCTCGATAAATGGAAAGGTCGGACTTGCTCA